GCCACACATCTGTGCGTCGAGAAAATAATGCCCCTGTGGGTGATGACTGCGATGTCGCCTCCATAGAGAGTCACCACCACCAAAGAGTCACCACCAACTCAGTTGGTTTCCGACAAGCCCAATGCGCCTGCATTCCCCCCCCTTCCTCCCCTCCCCTCCCCTCCCTCCACTGCGCCCCCACCGTCCTCCGCTCTGCCCCCAATACTGGCCCTGCGGGTGACTGCGACGTCATCTTCACAGAGGGTCACCACCCCTAACTCAGTTGGTTTCCGACAACCCCACTGTGCCTGCATTCCCCGCCCCTCTCCCCCCCCGCCCCCCTCCCTCCGTCCAATCTGCCCCCATCTACTGTAGTCGTTGCTTATCTGAATGATGTTTTCATCACCCACCCACCCATTCTTCACAGCACAAATGATTAAAAAAAAAATGTTTACAGCCTTGGAGCTCTCGAGTTAACCCCCAACCTTCTGCATCGCTCACTCCTTTTCATACTCGTTACTCTTCCCGACTCCTCAGCTCAATCCTTCCCCAACCCGGGGCTTTGATACCCCCGCACCCCCCCCCCCTTCCCGAACCCACTTGACTTATCTCTTTCGTCCCCCATTCACTCAACGGACTGGACTCAGACTCGAAACTCATCCCATTCATGAGGGGTCTGCTGGGAATTTGTCCCTTGTGTCCCTTGTGTGTACGTTGAATGTGGCAGGCAATTTCGTCTGCTACCTCCACGCGATGGACAGCAAAGGCCAACTCCCTCGTTCTTTGGACAGTAAAGGGATGACTCCCTCGACTCGATTGCGTGAGCGCATTGAGCGGGGCCTTGTTGTTTCCAGCAATTCAATACCCATCTGCAGCTGCCTGCCGTTCGCCCAAGTAAACCCGCTCTTTCCCGAATAGAACACATAAGGCATTGCTCATGTCGCTGGGGTCTCGATCGCTGCTCCTTGCATTCGGTACCGTTGGGGGTGTTTACGACACCATACTCCACACTCCACACTCTTCAGGAAAGTGGCGGGAACGATAGCACATGATGATGACCGTGAAGACTTGCCATAAGTACTGTATGTTCGCGCCAAAATGAGGAGCGCTGCCCATGCGTTCAATTCGACGAAACAGAGAACTTACTATAGTAGTGGCGGCTGGTCGTCACAAAAAAAATATGAAAGGAAAAAAAAAAAAAAAAGGACACAGCGATCGTTTGTTAAGCACCATGTAAATGATCGCCTGGCAAGGAAACCCCCAACGGAAGTAGACGACGGGGAGGGCGGGGGGCGGGG